TGATATACTAAAACTTTTGTATTGAACATTTTTTTCCATAAGCATTATTTTCCAAGATATTTGACCGTTGCCGAACTTTCTCCCATCACTGTATATGTTTACATTGTTTGCAGAAAAATGAACAATACATTGGATCTGTTGTGCCGCTGTACGGCACGGGTTCGGGATCCACTTAGGACTCGGGGGAGTTTACACAAATAAGCACTTTCTGTAGTTTGGTTTAGTAAAAATATATATATCTATTCTTTAATTTCACAATACACAAGTATGGTTTACTTATAGTCACCACCTCACTTAGCGGTACTCGCGTAGTAATAAGAACTCGGCGCGAGGCGTTACTTTTCTTAATTGACCGAATGCTGACCGTCGACCGCAGATCGGGTCGCGCTTATATTTGATATTTTGGGGGTCATCCTTGGCCCGTCCGCGCTGATCCGTCAGCGTTCCGCTTATCGGACGAGGCCGCGTAAACATCTGAGTTAGCGTTTTCTTTTGTTCCGAGTTTATTTGCCTTCAGGGTCGTCTTTTAAATTAATTTTTATTGTTTATCTTATTTTAAATAATATGGTTTCGTTTGTGTAAGCTAAACACGTATCGTGGCGCAATGGTCACTTGTGCAATATCGCACTCGTGACAATATACGTATAAAAGTTGTGTTTATAACATTCTGTTTTTATTGAACAACAAATTTTAATAGATTATTTATTTGATTTGTTATAAAAAAATTTCGTTTAATAATAAAGATCTAAATTTTTTTGTATAAGTACTTTAAATATTCAAACTTATGCAAAGTTTCATTGAGCTGCACCAATTAGTTTCTAACAAGTAAATATTTTGTTTATTGGACAATTAATGTCTGCATCTCAATGTATATAATTTTACGAAAATAATCTTATAGCGTTTTTCACTGTGTGTGTGTGGCAGAACTGGTGCGCACTTAGTGCACATTAAAGCTGTTGTACATTAACCTAATCTGAATGTAAAAGTGAGAGATCTCAATTAATAAAATACTCAATGTATATTTTATTAAATATTACAATAAAATGTATTAAGGATTTCATCGTTTAATTCGTTTCAATTTTTTTTATTAAACGTACATCTTTATGTCGATTTGTGTACAACGGCTTTAAAGTATACTGAGTGCGCACCAGCTCTGCCAGTGAAAAACGCTATTAAATTCATAAAGTACTCATATATTAAAAAATTGAGATTTTTGCTATTATTTTATAATGCATTTTTATATTTTTCTTAAGATATTGTTTAAATTACGTCGTTGCCTGAAAGAAAGACGTTGTTTCCTTATTGTACCAATTATTGCGAAGAATATTACTAAGGCCTCGGTGGTCTAATGGCTTACGACGCTCGTACAGAATACCTAGAGATCCGGGTTCAAGTCCCGGCCAAGGTAATATTTTTCGCAATAAATTTATTAACAGTTTCAACATATTAACATCTTTATAATATATGATGCTTGATGGTAGCATCAAATTATTTATTGCTTGTCAATTTAATTCGCGATTGCTGAAGTAGTTTTAATTGCGTTTATTTAGTCCGCAAAAATAATTCGGCGCGCAGTTTGAAAAAGACTACAATATGGTACACGGAGAGAATTTTTTCTTAGAATTTACCCTGAAAATATGACAGCCGTGGGACAACATTGTATTTCGAAGAATTTTAATATAAATCTCTCTCATTTATTAATAAAACTACAATAAAGTATAAAATAAGTTTGATCAATTTTACTGAAGTGCATGGTAAAAATCTTTAAAATATTGTATTGTACCACAATCATCATATTTTCAGGGTAAATTTTAAAAGAAAATTCTCTCCGTGTATATGTGCAAGTGCATATATGTATAGTATATATTATTAATTCAAGATTGAATTATTTAAGCAACAAAGATCCAGCTTCGACCGTAATAGGCATTTTTTAATTTCTAGTATTGATTGTGTTTCTCACATACGAGGGTCTAAAATAAAGATATTGTTTCTGAAGCTTTAAATTATAACGTATGATAAAAAACACTATTGAAGGCTCCTTAAAATTCAAAAAAACTTGGAAAGAAAAGGGCAATAGGAGTCAGACAAAGTTACGCAAATTCCAAACGTGTAGAAAGTAAAATCGTTTTTAGATTAGTTTTACTCGTACTGTAAGTTTTAGTTGCTTAAGAATTTATTGGTGATGCGGCATCACCTTTTCTAATGGTTTTGGATTCACAGTCACCCATTGGCGAGTTTAGTTTTATTTGCTCCGTTTTCGGTGGGAGGGACTGTAACTTATTGTTCCTTCCAAGCGATCTGGTTATAATTAGTGTTCTCTTTACGAGAGTTTTCATATTTCCCTTTTTATTGGATACAATAGATATTTTAATACAGAGAAAACATGTACAAAAACATTCGAATTTTTTCAGAGGAAATTGAATTTACAAAGTCTCTATTGGATATTTAAGATGGCATGTTAAATGATTCTGATGATAATATACAATTAACATTCTAATTGTCGTATTACACCCATTAGTGCTGATATACACGATGTATACGGTGATTTAATATAA